CCCTCATCCCCACTCGTTTGGGGGTCAGAGGCCACGGGAGGGCTCCCTTCAAAGAGGAGGTCCACATGACCCCCTTCTGTCATCTGCCATCACGCATCCATCATCTGCCAGCCCCAGGGAGCTGCTGGCAAGATCTGAGAACTGGGCGATCAATACAGCTGTTCTTTGTCCTGCTTGCTTGCCTTGTGCTGCACGGTGCCTGGCTGAGCACCTCCTCCAGGCTCTCAGCCCCCGGCCAAAGTGGGAGCAGAGGTCTAGGGGGCCCCCTTGGCCAAGGGCTCCAAAGCAGTGAGGGTGTGGGCCTTTCCTCCCAGGCCCCTCAGCTGTAACTCCGCCTGCCTTCTGCAGAATCAATTATTGAGGCTCCTACAATGGAGGAGTCCCAGGGGTACTCTGGCTGCCTTCCAACCTCCATGAGAGCAGAGGGGCAGGGACAAGATGAGCTTGTTCTTGAAGGCATGGCCAGCGAGATGGTCCAGGCTGTGGATTCCGGTGGTCAGAGTCTCAGAACACCCTCAGGCCAGGGGTGCCACCCACCCGTGGGGGACGAGGGAGCCCTGGGGCTGCTCTGCGTCCTGGAGGACTGAGTGGGAAGCAAGCTGATCAAAGGGCCCGTGCACCAGACTGACAGCTCTCATAGTCGCCTGGGACGCAGGCTCAGACAGGTGGCCGGTGGCCTTGAATGCTGGGGAGGCATCTGGATGGGGGGTGGAGTCCGGGAAGGATCTGCTCTGCCTGGAAGGAGGCGGCGTGACAGCCACAGTTCCAGTCTGCCGATCAGCTTCCCTCAGGGGAAGGCCCGACATATGGGAAGTGACATTGGGAGGCCATAGCAGATGGCAGAGTAGCCCTGGAGCTGGTGGGAGAGTGTCTTGTCTCAGGGCTGTGCCCAGCCCCCACCCCATCTCCAGGAGCCAGCTCCCCAGGAAGAGGAGGCCCCTCCCTGGGCCTCCTCAGTCAGGTCCTGCGCCCCCGTGGCCTGGAACTCCTCTCTCCCAGGGCCTCCCCTTGGTTCACTAATTCTCGCTCGTGTGAAGGAGTGAACATGTGAGTGCAGCTGATCTTCTGTCCTTCTCTACGTTCCAGCTCTTAGGTGACCTTAAGACACCCTGGGTCCCTCTGGAGCGCGAGGTTCCTCTGGGAGTGGCTCCCCTCCCCTCCCCCAGACCGAGAGGGGAGTTGAATGGATCTATGGCCTTCCTTCCCTTCCAGAGGCCCCACGCAGGCACCCAGGACACGTGACTAAGGAGGCTGATGTCCTGCTAAGAGTCCTTGTCACGTGGCTGTGGAGCTGGGGGACTGACTAAAACACGGGGGCAGGGGAATGAGGGAGGGATTGAGGTTCCTGGCTCTGCTGGAGACTGAGGAGCTGGGCATGGCTGGGGCCATGCAGATAAACCCCTTTTCACGCTTCCAGCCCTGGGCTGGGTCTGCCTGACCCGAGGACACACAGGTAAGGAAAACACTGCCCAAGGGCCAGACTGCCCAGAGTGGATTCCATGGGGCTCAGACCCAACATGTGGTGGGGGGAGGAGGCAGAGGAGAGAACGCTCAGGAGAGCAGGCGCTCAGATGTGCCCATCACTTCTGCTATCTGCCCCTGCTCTCCCCACCTGTTGGGGACAAGAGGGTCATGACACCAGCCCCAGGGTTGCTGTGATTACATGGCTTCTCCTCGTGCACTTCGCTGCATACAGGCCTGGCACCCAGTCGGCGCCCAGCAGACGGGGGTTCTCACTACTCCCCCGAGAGGCCAGCAGCCCCGCTCCTGGCGACCCCTGCTTTGGGAATGCTCGGCCAGAATTTCCACCACAAGTGGGTTGGAGCCGATGGTGGAGCCTCCTGGGATCAGGGGTGACCCCAGCTCTGGCCTCGCCCTCCTGGGTGCCCAAGTGAAAAATTTCACATGTAGGCAACATCAAGTGAGGCTTCGCCACGTGGCTGAGTCACTCCTTCGTTCAGATACTGGGTGGGCTGGGGAAGCAGAGGCGGAGAAGGCCGGCTGCTGAGGCCCCGGGACAGTCCGTGGGGAACTGGAACTTCAGTGATGCGTCCAAGGAGACTGGGAAGGAAGGTGTTCTGGCTCACTGGGGGCACCAAAGCAGGCTTCCCCTCAGAAGCCCCTCACTGTGGGGCCTTCCCTCCAGGAGAGGCTGGAGAGATGAGGTCCTACGTCACTGTCCTGGCTCTTGGGGTCCCACAAGAGGGTGGGAGAGAAAGTCCAGACACAGGCAACCACAGCCAGAGGTCACAGTGCTGTAAGAGTCACAGGAAGTCCATGAAGTCTTCCTGGAGCTGAGGCACTGAGCTGTTGGGCAGGGATGAGGGCCAGGCACCCGCAGAGACTGCACTGTGACCGGGATGAAGCGGCCAGGGGTGGAGGCTGGAGCACAGGGGCCTGCAGGGGTGGGCCAGGTGGCCAGTGAGGGGCCTCAGGTGAGAGTGTGGGCTCAGAGAGAGGAGGAAGCAGGGAAGGGGCCGGGGGAATGAGGCAGAGTGATATTTCTGAAGCACTTACATGCGGTCCTGGGTCTCTGCTGCAAAAATTTACAGCCAAAGGTGGAGGCATTTGAAGAGAATTCCTTCAGTGACTTGTCATATCAGGGGAACCACACTGCTGTGATTGTGACAGAGACACCGTATCAACCAGCTTCCGGGAAAGAACTTAGCACACACAGCGGGCAACACGAGGAGAGTTTAATAAGGGCCATTGACAGAGGTAGTCATACGAGACAGTGGGGGCCTCGCTCAGGAGCTGGTAATAACAGGATGCCATCATTGCCCCCAGTTCCGGGACCTGAAGGGGCAAAGAGAGGGAGCTGTAGAGAGCACCCATCCCTGTGCCAGGCTCTCCTGTCCTGAGATGCTTTCTGCGGTGTGCTGCAAACCCCATCCTAATCCACCCCCAATGCGGCCTGTCCCCAAGACTGTGTCTAGTGGATCGCTGGGGTCACTGTCCAGCAAGGCCTCGGGGAGTCCTGAGTGTGCAAAGCTGTGACTACAAGGATGGCCACTGCAGCATCTCCTGTAAAGCAGAAAGCTGACTGACACAAACCGAGTGTCCCATGTTTGGGCGGGATAATGGACTCCGGTCTATCCATGAAGAGCTGGCAGCTGCTACGTTAAGGAGCCTGAGGCTTCCATGTGTGGACAGGGCTCCCCCCGGTGGTCAAGAACCAGAGCTGTGCCCTGGCCGGGTGGCTCACTTGGTTGAGCACTGTCCTGTGAACCAGGTCTCGGTTTGATTCCTGGTGGTCAGGGTACATGCCCGGTTGCAGGCTCCATCCCTGGTAGGAGGCGTGCAGGAGGCAGCCAATTGATGTTTCAGTCTTGCATAGATGTTTCTCTCTCTCTCCCTCTCCCTTCTTCTCTCTCTAAAAATCAATAAAAAATAAAAGAACATGAACTACCAGATAGTGTACATGGAGAGAGGTCGTTCTGCTTAAACAACAAAGAGGCCAACAAATGTCACGGTGGTGCACACGCAGGACCAGTCTGGAAGGACTCCTACCAGCTGAGAACAGCGCTCACTTCCCAGAGTGCCGACCGGAGGGGACCTCCCCTTTGCGTACAGGGCTTTACTCTCATTTTGTTTTACAAGAAGCAATAAGCACGCAATTCCTTTAAGAGCGACTTTTACAAAGAAGTATTTTATACCTATTTAAAAAAAAAAAAAAAGGAGAGAGCTAAAAATGTGGCAAAGGAAAAATAAACAGAAAAAGATGCCAGTGTTTTTCCCCAACAAGATGTTTGGCAGTTGCTGTGAGCGCCTGTAGTGCTGGGCACGGTCCAGGGTGCTGGGCGGCGGCGCCAGCCAGAATGGCTGCCTGCAAAATGCTGAGCATCTGCGAGAAGCAGGTAAGATGTGTCCAGACGTGCCTGTCCGCCTATGGCACAAGGTGGGCAGGGATGATGGGCATATATCTAGGGCTGTGGGAGTATGAGGTGGGTGGGGGCAGTCAACAGCCTACATGAAGGAGCAACATGAGGGCATGGGGGAGGGCCCTCTGGACAGGAGCTAGGGATGGGCATCCGGGCTGTTCCTGTCTGGCTGGCTGTGCAGGAGGGGTGGAGACAGGACCACATTAGACCCTGGAGGGCCTTCAATGTCCTCCAGACACGAGGATGCCATTACAAAGATCCTAAGAGGCAAGGGCTCAGCACTTTCTCATTCCCAGGTCCTTCCTGTGCAGGCTGGTGGCAGAGAGGGATAGTGGGGGCAACAGTGGGCACTAGCCCAGCAGAGCCCAGGTGACTGCTGCTGGTGGCAGAGCAGGGCAGTGCCATGCTCAAGGGGTGCAGCAGTGAGTTACCCCAAGGGCAGCTGGGCAGTCTTTTTCCTGCAGCTCAGATGGAGACATTGATTGCCCAGGTGGGCCAGAGGGGGATGAGTGGCCTGTTCTGCTGGTCCCTGCCCACTAACCAGAGGGCAGGACCCTGGGGATCGAGGAGGAGCCAGAGATGGCCCCTCAGCCAGAAGTGATTAGAGAGGCCTTCTCATCCATCCTCCTCTGGAGGCAGGCTACCCAGGGACCCTGCAAGGCTGGCAGAGGAACATGGACAGGGAGACCCAGAACTGCGAGTCCTGTTGCAAACATGGAAGTCCCAGGCAGGGGTGACCAGTCCTGCCTACCTGGACTGCTGAGATCAGAAGGATCCGGAGGCCCCCTCAGGAAAGCTCAGAAAGAGCACCCGGGTGACTGCTGACGTGTGCTGAGGGCAAGGGATGTGGGCCGTGGGGCACAGGTGTCCCGTGTGCAGCCTGAGGCCTCTCAAGGCCAGGGGACACCAGCCTTCCAGGTAACACCGCAGGCCCCACTCTTGGGCAGTGTGGGCCCCGGGCAGTCAGTGAGGGCCTTTCCTGGCCCCCGGCCTGCTAAAGAGAAGTCGCAGAGGGTGGACAGACGTCACAGAGTTCAGGCTCCGTGTCACCCCTCTGCAGTCACAGAAGGCACTGCCCATGTGTGCGTCGGGAGTGGAGGCCTCTGGCACAGTCCTTGGCTAACAGCAACCCAGGCTGGAGGGCCTCTTGGTCTCCTGGGTGTCGGATGGACTTCCCTCCATTCCTGTGGGGAGGGGAGAAGTCAGTTGGCATAACCAGGCACCTGCAGGGACACTGCACAGGCCCCCCCCGTGCTGATACCCTCTGGTGACTGCTGGGCAGAGCTATGAACTTGAACCTCAACGCCTCTCATTCAAGGCCTGGACAGGGACACATTCCAGGTGATGGAACAGAGTGGGCAAAGGTGGGAAGTAGGAGAGCCAAAGCCAGGACGCACCCGTGGAGCCTGGAATGCCCAGCCTGGCCCATGAGGATACTGCCAGGCAGACAAGGGGAGCCAGGGAGGGGGTCTGAGCTGGTAGGTGGGGTCAGGGAGGCTGCAGGCCTGAGGTCAGAGTGCTGGGAGAAAGAACAGCCCAGACAGAGGGATGGGAGGATGGTGGACATGATTTTTAGGCAATAGGCCCGCTTCCAGCCCCAACGCAGCTGCCTGTACGCACGGATGAGGTCTCCATCGCCGACCTGGGGCTGGGAGCTGCTCCTCCTCTCCAGGCTTTGCAGCACCGCCTGCTCGAACGCCAGGGCGGCCACGCGGCTGAAGAAAGCATTCACGTTCTCCCCTGTGAGCCCACAAAACAGTTGTGCCCTGTGCCCCTCTGCCTTCAACCTGCAGTGGGTATGAGGGTCAGGGCAGTCCACCTCTAGAGCTGTCTGGGACAGTGCACACAGGGAACTGGCCAGCTGGCCTAGCTTGCACCTGGCTCCAGCCCCCTCCCCACTCTGGCTACCTGCCCCAGCAGCTCCCTCAAATCTCTGTGCCTTGGCTTCCCAGGATCTATCCTGGCAATCATTCGGTACTGAGCACCTCCTGAGGGCCAGCATGGGGACGTGTGGCGATCAGTAGGTGCCTGTCCTCCTGTAACCCAAGCACCTGTCCAGTGGGCAGCTGTGAGGGTTAACTGTGCCCACCACCACATGGAGCCTTTGTGAATCCTCCTCCAGGTGGAAGGGAATGCCCAGCTGGGCATGGGGGGTTCCAGTCCCCCACAAGCACACAGCCCTTGTGCACCTAACTACCTGTACACTGCACAGGGAGACTCTGCTTGGCCTATGGGGAGCTCTCAGAGAACATGCAGTACTCTGATGGGAGGGGGTCCCACAGGGCATAGGATGCCATCAGGAAGGAGTAGAAGGAACCAGGCCCGCGTGTGGCCACACTTTTGTTTGCATTGGGCTGGAAGTGATGCTTCTACCCGTAGGACTATCCTCAGCCTTCCGGCCTGCCCACCCGCCACTGCCTCACCCAGCCCCTGGCCAGGGTCTGCTCTGGCCCTCCCCAGGGCAAGGGCTTCGGAGCGGGTGTAATTCCCGAGTCCCAGAGCCTCTGTGTGCCAGGCTCTCACTGCGCGTTAGTTCATTTCACGCCCCAACAACCGGTGTTTTCAAAGTCGGTGCTTTGCTTCTCTGCATTGTCTAATTCTTCTTGGTGACAACATATGGCTTTTGTCATTTCAAACATACTTTTACATTAAAAATAAAATAAGATGGACAGCATCATCCGCTTCCCAGACGAGAATACTGAGGCTCAGAGATGCCGGGCATCTCTCAGGGGCCATGGTGAGAATGGCCCCCGGGGGAAGGCGGCTCAGGGGCCGGGGGACAGATCAAGTGTGACCTGAATGAGGTCTGGAGGCCGTGAGCAGCATCTTCCATGATGACACCCAGGGAAGGGATGGGAGCCCACATCTACTGGGCCCTTCTGTGCGCCAGGTGGTGCCTCCCACCTGGCACCCACCGGCTGCGGGCAGGATGCTGCAGTGGTTACAGGTGAGGGCTGAGTTCCAATCCTAGACCTGGCACTGCTGACTTGGGACCCTGGAAGTGACTTCACAGGGACAAAGCTGACCTGCCCAGAGGGTCAGGTGTCGCTGTTCCTGTGGCCCATGGAGCAGGGCTCCAAATCTCCCCCCAGAGATGAGGACACTCTGCTCAGGCACGGAAGGTCCTGCGCGGTCACCAGCAAAGCTGGCGGTGCTGTGGGCACCCGACAGGCCACAGGAGGAAATGCGTGAGCCTCCCACAGCTGGCCCGAGTCCCCCAGGGCAACCGCCCCAGGCCCACTCACCCGTCTTAGCCGACACCGACCAGTACTCGGCCTGCATGCTGTTGGCCAGGTGCACGGCCTCCACTTCCGTCTGCTCGCACGCCGCCCTTGACTGGGGGAGCAGCCCTTCTTCAAGGGGCGCCTGGGAGGTGGCTGCCCATCTCCCACTGAGCCTCCTTGCTCCCTATCTCGCGCTGGGCTGCGCAGCCCCAGTTCAGGGAAGGGGATGCCTGCCCGGGGGAGAGACCCCAGTAGCCCCGGGCCAGTCTGAGTGCCGGCTGTGCCTCCCTGAGATGAGCGCCCCGAACTTTCAGGTCCCAGGCCTGCAGATTCAAATCCTCATCTCGCCATGTCAGGGCCACCCCCGCTTCCCAAGCTGGGGCTGAAAGCAGATACATTCTCCTAAGGGCCACCCAGCTCACCAGAAGGTCCTTCTTGGTTCCCACGAGAAACACAAAGCAGGAACCCGGCTCATTCTCTCTCAGTGCGTCGTCCAGCCACTGCCTGAACGCACAGCAGGTTGTTTGGGGTGGGGTGGGGAGGACTGGCTGAAAGACAGCCCTCCCCACCCAGAGAGGCCTGAGAAAGACCAGGGGGTGGGTGCGAACCGGCTCCTCCCCAGGGCTAGGAGCACTGCGCTGGGAGGTGCTGGGAGGGTACCTTGACCCACGCTGGCCGAGAGGGCGCTGGGCCTGAGCCCCGAAGGGCCTCGGCTGGACCACGGGGGAATCGGGTCTCAAGAGCACCAGCCAGGGAAGGTGAGACCCAGCTTTGGCTGTGGCTCTGCCCTTTGTCAACTTGGGTGAGTCCTGCAGTGTCATCAACTGGAACAATAACCCTGGCCTCCCTCACAGGGCTTGAGATGCCAGATGTGAATGTCCAAACAAAAGCGAGGTGAAGGGGACTTTGGTCCACTGGCTGGATGATTCCCAGCAGAAGCAGGATGGGCTCCCAGAATTGGTCATGATGCCAGCTCTCTTGACCAGATCTCTGCCCAAGACAGCAAGCACCGAATCATGGCCCTTCAGACAGGGCCGGCTATATAATATGCAGGGCCCAGGGAAAAATGAAAATATGAGGCCCTTCGTCCAACATAAGGATCAAGACAGCAACAGCAGAGCATAGAGCATAGGCCCTCCAAGCATAGGCCCCGGTGCGACCATGCTGGCTACGCACTCCAAGCCAGCCCTGACTTCAGCGTATGGGTGCAAATCTTGAGAGATAATAAGGCAACTGAACAGTAAGTAGCCTGTGAGCTGGTCACCTGCACCTGCCACTGGGGGCCCGACTCATGGGCCCAGATTTGGGGAGCCTTTCCAGGTGGTTTTCTGAGCCCAGGGGGCCCACCGAGGCTGCAGAGTCCCAGACTTGCCTGGTATGCTCCAGAGTCTGCACATCAGTGAGGTCAAAGGCTGTGATGATCACTGCACATGTGGGGGGCAAAGCCAAGAGCTGGTGAGCTCCTTGCTCCCCAGGAACTGCCAGGGTGGGCCCCCAGGCACTCAGCTCTGGCTCCCACAATGACCTGCCCAGAGGCTGCCCCTTGTGACCACCTCCCACACCCTCCCAGACCCACACCCTGCAGTGCAGCCACAGCAGGGGATGCAGAGAGGCAAGGTGAGCCTGGGGCTCCTGAGTTCAAACCCCCTCTGCCATGCATGGCTAGGGGAGCTGGGACGAGGGCCTCCACTGCTGAGAGCCTGCTCCCATCTGTGAGATGGGCACCACCACCTTCAGCTCTCAGCGTTGCTGGGAGGTTTAAGCCATAGCAGCTATCTGAAAAGCTCTTGGTTCAGGGCCTCATAAGAGGCAGACGTCTGACCAATGGCAGCTATGCTGTGAGTGCAATTAGCAACAACCAGCTTTAGGGGAACACTTTCTGGGGAGCAGGGAGCGCAGAAAACAGGAAGATGCAGCCTGCGCCCTCGGCTCCTCTCCTCAGCGGCCTCCTCCCCCCACTTCCTCCTGGAGTCAACTCTGCTCCTTTCTGGGGTCTCTGGACACGTACTTCTCCCTCTGAGCATCTTTCTGCACTGACTCTGGCGCTGAGACTCACAGGGAGCACCCATCACCACAGTGTCCCCAAAGGGTGTGACAGTCCAGGCCCTGAGGACCGGCCAGAGGGTTTCTCAGTGCTTCCTGGGGACAGATTTGGAGCCTGGGCTTCTCACTGTTGAGCCTGGCAGGGAGCCCTCTGCTGCATGACACTGAGGGTCCCACCATTGCCATCGCCCAGCTGCTCACCCTGGGCACCCCGGTAGTAGGCAGATGCGATGCACTTGAACTTCTCTTGCCCTGCTGTGTCCCAGCTGTGCGGTGGCAGAGAGAGAAGGGGAAAGAGAGAGGTGGCAGATAAATGACTGCAGTGGTCAGAGCTCAGCAGGCTAGTGGGGTGACGGGTGCAGACCTGAGGGCCCAAGCCAGCTGTGTCCACCTCCCAGTTCCTGAGGATCTCTTTCAGGGTGCCCCTGGGGAACTGCCTGGCTGGATGCACTGTACCCGTGGGAGAAGGGCACAGCCTTAGTAGTTCCACGGCCCAGATGAGTGGAGTCATGGCTCAGTCCTTTCTGACTATGCCATTAAGAAAGAGAATCTGGCTTGGGCCGGTGTGGCTCAGTTGTTGGAGTGTTGAGCTGTGCACCGAAGGGTTTAGGTTCGATTCCTGGTCAGGGCACATACTCTGGGGTTGATCCCTTATCAGGGTACGTCCAGGAGGCAGCCAATTGATGTTTCTCTCTCACATCAATGTTCCTCTCTCTTTCCTTCTCCCTTCCTGTTTCTCTAAAATCAATAAAAACATATCCTCAGGTGAGGATTTAAAAAAGAAAAAAAAAAAAGGAGAATATGCTCCCACTGTGCTCGCTCTGAGGATGCTGAAGATGCTCTGTAGAGGAGGCCCTGAGCAGGCCAGGGTTCCAGGCTGGACCACCAGCTCTGGCTCTGCCATTTGCTCATGTGTGACTGGGCCATGGCTTCACCTTCTGCACTGCAGCAGAGGGGATGCTTAGCTCCCCAGGTGGGGGTGAGGGTGTCTAACAGAGACATGGTTTGTATCTTTTGGGTGACTCTGATCTGTTAGTTCTAGCTCTCTGGAGAAGCTGAGCCCAGGCTCGATGGAAAAGAATGCAACACTCGATTAATGATGTCTGCCACGGGCACACTACCAGAGAGATGGAGGCAAATGCTGCAATCTACTTGTCCTGGTCTAGAACCAGGCAGGAAGTCAGTATGCAGGGCCAAGTCTGGAAATCCATTCCTTTATAAAACCAACAGATTGGTCCAGCCAGTGTGGCTCAGTGGTTGAGCGTTGACCCATGCACCAAGAGGTGGTTGGTTCGATTCCCGGTCTGGGCACATGCCCAGGTTGTGGGCCTGATCCCCAGTGAGGGGTATGCAGGAGGCGGCCAACTGATGTTCTCTCTCATCAATGTTTCTATCTCTCTCTCTTCCTCACTTCTCTCGCTAAAATCAATAAAAGGTAAAAAAAAAAAAAGTAAAATCAACAGACTGAAATTTTCTCCGTCAACTGACAAGAAGACAAGCCAGAAACAAGACATCAGTGGTCTCAATTTTTTTCAAGTGATCCAGATCCATATGCAGAATTTGGGGCTCTATTCCTTCATGAATTCATTCACGTTTTCTTTCACTTCTGAAGATGAGTCTAGGTAGGGAGCTGGAAGTGTGGCCTGGAGGGGAGACCAGTCGGGTGGCTGGAAATGGCCTTAATGTAGGACAATGAGAGGCTAAGCCAGGACATGTCCCTATTTTGTCCTGGGTCCTCTGATTAGACACAGCCTGTGGTCGCAGCAGTGAGCCGAGCCACAGGCCACTTTCTGTATGGCTCCACCTCAGCTGCCCCTATCAGCTCTTTGCTCTTCTCAGCTCACCTGCTTCCAGATCCCCTTGGTCCTGCAGCCCTGCATTTTCACAGCCTCTTCTGCTCTGGTGGGACCCTGTGCTATCCCTAGGGAAAGCTTCAGTGGTTCCCCTGGCTCTAGGACCGCACTGGGGCTAGAGAAGGCCTCAGAGACGGGGCCGTGTGGACAGTGTCAGGAGCTGACGTCCACGGGAGAGGCGGGGCTCCATCTTCATTACCATGATCCCCAACCCCATCCCAGGCAGGGCACAAGGACTGAGGAATGAAACCAGAGAAGCAGGTGTGAACCCTGGGGAGAGAAAGGAGAAGGGACCAGGACAGAGGCCTGGTGAATGCCAGCAGGCAAGGGGAGGGTGGGCTGGGGCAGCCATAATGTGGGGGCAAGGGGGATGCATGAAGGAGAGCCTGGGATGGGGAGGGGGCCACGCAGAAGAACCTGGGATGGGAGAGCCTGGGATGGGGAGGGGCCTCGCAGAAGAACCTGGGATTGGAGAGCCTGGGATGGGGAGGGGCCTCGCAGAAGAACCTGGGATGGGGAGGGGGCCTCGCAGGAGAACCTGGGATGGGGAGGGGGCCTCACAGAAGAACCTGGGGTGGGAAAGCCTGGGATGGGGAGGGGCCACGCAGGAGGGCGGGGAGGAGGTGTGGGCAGGCCTGCAGTCTTGTCCATGTGCCAGAGGAGAGGGAAGACAGGTCCAGAGCTCTGGTAGGAAAGGGGGCAGCCGGGGGAGAGACTCTGGGCTGTTCTGAGGGAAGCTGAGGGGAGGGAGGAAGCCAGTCGCCCGAGAGGCAGAGGCAAGGCAAAGAAGTGAAGACAGGCAGGCGGAGGGAGAGCAGAGCGAGGGCGATGGGTGGAGAGGGCGCATCAGGACTGAGGAAGGCCTGTGGATCAAGTGGCCTCCACCAGAGCCCGGCACACAGGGCCCAGCTTTGGCCCTTTTTTCCAGATGGGAACTGAGGCTCAGAGGCCGGAAGTGACTTGCCAGAGACCACCTTGCTGGCCTGGCGAGTGGGATCCCGGATGGCCGGGTGCAGGAGGGGCGGGGACTGGAGCCCCGCTGGTTCAGACAGGTCCTTGCTGAGTTCCACTGGACAGCTGGGAAAGAGCTCACCAGGGGTCTCCCCAGAGCCGCCCACGAGCCACACGACACAGACTTACATCTGGAGGCTGTAAGGGATCCCAGCAATCTCAAAGCGCTCGATTTCAAAGTCCACCCCGATGGTGGCCTTGTAGTCATGGTCAAAAACATTCTTGCAAAACCTGTGGGAGGAAGTCATCAGAGAGGCTGCATGGAAGCTTCACTCATGACAGTGAAAGTCTGGAGGCAACAAAACGCCCACCCACTGGGAATCACTAAGAGGTCCACAGAGAGAGACCACGGACAGACAGCCGACACGAGCTATGTGCCGGGAAAGGCTGCAGAGAACCCTGCAAGTCGGGCAGAGAAAGAGAAACTGGGCACCCTTTCTCAGGGAAGGCGTGAGGGGTGAGCCCATGGCCCCAGGGGGACAGTGTGACCGATGCCAGGGTTTTGGGACACCACACTCTTCGCTGACCCCACCATCTCCCTGATTTCCTGCATCTCTTTCGCGAGGTGTGGGTCCCCGCATCCACACTGCTTCCACTATAACAACGTCGTCTAGGTCTCCCAGCAAAGCCCTGACAACCTGGTACTGGGGTGTGTGGCCGACGTGCTTACCTGTGGATGAGGCTGGTCTTGCCCACGTAGAGGTCACCGACGACAACCACCTTGGAGAGGCTGAGCCTGAGAAGATGTGGCCATGTTGCTCTCGAGCATGGTCCCAAGAGCATCTCCCCACACACAGGCCCTTCCTTCCCTGTGCTCCCCACCTGTGAGCCACCCCTCCGTCCTGCACAGGTGATGGGACAGTTGGTGGGACACTCTGGGATGGCTGTGAGAGGAGGCAGGAGAGTCTGCATTTGTTCTGGGACTCTGCTGTCCCCGGAGCTGTAACCCTGACATGAGGATTAGAATTGGGCAAAATGAGAGGCTGAGGCAGCAGAGGGAAGAGCCCTACATGGGGCTGCATCCAAGCTGAGGGCACAGCCAGGACTCCGGTACACACTGGGGGTGTAGACAGAGGCCCATGTGCAGGGAACACAGCAGGGGGGTGGGGGCCAGAGCCCTTGGGGCTACAGGCCTGATGGGCTCCCTCCTGCTCCGAGCAGTCACTCCCCGAGTGGGACACACCCACTCCCTTGGAGGTGTCTCCTAGGGCCAGCCAGGCCAAGAGCCTGTCACGGACAGAACTGCAGCTTGAGGTGAATAGGCTCTGAGTTTCTCAGGCTCTGTGGGGACCCTGCTCAGCAAGAGTAGCTGCCACCCCCTCTGTGTGTCCTGCATTCCCTGCAGCAGCACTCCTGAGGCTGTGGGTGATACTCTGGGTTTCTGCAGCTCATGCCAAAGCTCAACAGGTGACATCTGACCAGGCACTTCCTGTACCTGCAGACAGCAAGAGGGCACCTCTACGTCACCCAGTGACCTGGTGCCCTCACTGGCCATGTCTGTGAGGGCAGAGACTGTCTGCTCTCAGGCGGCCTCTAGTTTTGGGACAGGGTGCCCCTTACTCTGTTTCTCAGATAAAGGAGTAAAGGTACTGCTGAGGTGCTGTGGGGGTACCCGTTTTACCTCAGTCTCCCCACCTCCCAGTGCTCTTGTGAAGGGTCAGGGATCGTCTGCATGAGGCACCTGGTATGAGTCGGCAGCGTTACTCTCACCTCATGCCCACAGCTGCTCTGGCCATTCTGACCCGAGCCCTGCATCACTTTGAGTCACATTGGGAAGCTCCGAGTTGGGCCTGCACTGCAAGCTCCCACACCCATGCGGCACCCGTGTGACACCGTGAGCTCAGCCAACTCCCTGAGCAGACTGTGAGCGCCTCAGGTCGAGGGGCAGAAGCAGGCCCTTGTGCCTGTTTGTGAGAAGGAGTGAGTTGCAAGATCCCTGAGCCAGCAAGGCAGGTGCTGCCAAGGCAGGAGCAGGGCAGAAGCAGCCCTCAGCCTCCTGGGAGGAATCCAGACAGCAAACTCGCAGCCTCGGGAGGTAAGTGTGTGGGACACAGGAGCACACAGGAGGGGTGCCCCGCCCAGCTCAGCCTAGGCGGGGGCAGGAGTAGTGGGGGGCTCAGAGAAGGGCCCCGGAGGACCTGACACTATACTGAGGCCTGAAGAGTAGGAAGAACATTACAGACAAAGGAAAAAGACAAATGCTGAGACCTCAGGCTGAAAATCACGTGCCTGACGCTGAGAAATGGGAAAGCTGTTCCATGTGGCAGAAGTGTGTCCAATAAAAACAGAAAAAAACTCCCGTCCTGCTCAGGCCTATGCTGGGTTGCACTGGTGCAGTCTGGGTGCGTGCTTCACGTGTGCATTCACATGTTCACTCAGGCACTCATTCCGTCCTGCCGGCTCCCCCACATCCCACGCCCCTGCGTGCGCGGAGGAGGCGCTCACCCGACAGTCCCCGTGTTCCTGCGCTGGCAGGCGGCATTGACCTGCCCATGGAAGTGCTCCTTGAGCTGCAGGCAGGCATCAGGCGTGTACCACTGGAAAGAGTCAGACAGACAGACAGACAGACAGATGGGCACATCACCCTGCGAAGCTGCGTCTCCATCACCAAGCAGGGCAGCGAGGTGGTGACTTGTTTTCTAGCATCTGCTCCGTAAGCCTTGTGGTTGGCAGCCTCATTCGCCTTCCCCGGTCCCTCTGTCACATCCCTCCTCCACCTTGTCAACAGCACTGAGACTCCAGGATCTTACGAGTTCTGAGCTGGGTCTCACCTGGGGCAGCTGTGCCCATACTGTGAGCACGTGGCAGGTCTCTGTCCCCTCTGGCCCTCTTGGGGTGAGATGAGGGGTGGGCTGTAAGGGTCTGTTTAGCTCCAAGACCCTCCCATAGCTTCTACAGATCTCTATGCTATTTTTGTTTTTAAAGTATGCATATATGTGCATGGAAAACATCCTGGAAGGCACTTATGGTCTGCCACAATTTTTGGAAGGCAGAACTGGGCAGTGGTTTAAGAGCATAGCCTCAGGGTCAAGAAAACCTGTGTCCACTCTTAGCTGCTGTGTGACCCTGGGTAGTTGCCTAATGCCTCTGAACTTTAATTTCCCCATCTGTAAAGCCTCAGAGGCAAGGGACCATAAAATGAGATTATGTTTGTAAAGCACAGAGCCAGCCTGGCATATACTAATTGCTTAATGTCATGGCTATTAAGATGCCATGACACATGCTGAATGTACATTTGTTTTAAAATTAGAAAAAACAAAATTAAGATGACCATTATGTTTTGTTTTCAGATTGGCCAAGGCTAAGCATAGAGCGTAGCAAGGACATGGACAGAATGGCATCATTGAGACTGCTGGTGTTCTCTGCTATGACACAGCAGAGGTGGCCTGGGCCACCTGCTCTGTCCCTCAGGGCACTGATTGGACCCATGGTTGCCTGTGGCAGGGGCTTGGCCACATCTCCTAGCCCTAGTGTTTCTTCTGAGCTTTCAGGCATTGGAAGGGGCTCTGCTCTGGCCCATGTGCCCTCTCAGCTCCAGGTGTGACTAAGACAGCAGGGACAATGGAGAGAACTTTGCAAAAAGGCAGGTTATGAAACCTCAATGAGCCTGTTTCCTCATCTGTAAAGGGGGACACTCCTAACAGCACCTCTTCGTCTGGTTGTTGGAGGATGAAACGGGTGATACTTAGCCAAGCAGCTCACATTCATGCAGGAGTGTCAGCTACCTCATGAGAAAGTTGGCTGCTTTCTCCTGTCGACTTGCATGTCAGCTTCAAATTGGGGCCTGGCCTGGGCACAGTGGTCATTAGAGGAATCCCATGACCTTGGATGAACTGGAGAAGTGTAATAAGGAAGGCTAAGCATGAAGCGTGAAAGAATTGTGTGTGTGTGTGTGTGAGCCAAGTTTAGAGACAGGAACACTGAGGCACACAGAGCAAAGGGAAGGACTTGCCTCACCTGACCACACATTTCTCAGGTCTGAAATGGTGTGATCCTGGGGGGCAGGATGAACTAGGCCAGCTGTGGTCTGTGATCCCTGACTGCCACAGGCAGTGGGGGAGAATCTCACCTTCCATGGAAACAGGTGGGGAAAGTCAGAGCTCTGGAGACAGCCACAGCGGGGTCAAGTCCTGGCTCCTCCACACCCACTTGTGAGACTTTAGGCGGCCCTCCCCACCTCTCTGAGCCTCACTGTCCCACTCTGTAAATGGAGTCCTTTGTCCCCTGAGATCTGGCCTGTTTTGTGCCAATCACACTTCCCTTCCTTTTGGATCACTAAATGCCAGTCTCTGTCATCCCTGGGAAGTAATTCCCTGCCTCTGATGAGATGGAAAATCCTGGGGGAACTGTCCATGGGTCTGAGACATCAAGGCTTTCTTTGTGGGTGTGTGGAGAAAGAATTCTGGGGGAAAGCAGAAATGGGGGAGGAGGAATGACTGCAGGCCCCAAGTATCCAGAGACTACAGTCAACTCCTTTTTCCCTGCCAGCCTGGACAAAGAATTCCAAAGGTAAGAAGCCCAGTTCATAGAGAACATGTCTCCCTCTGCCCCATCCCAAGTCACATGGAGACAACCACTGATAGCTGGATCTTATGCATCCTTCCAGAGATATTTTCTGCATGTATAAACAAACACATACATTTCTTTTTTTCCCTTCTTTTTTGTCACACATGGGAGCGTGCTACACACACTGCTCCATTCCTGGCATTTTCACCTTGGCTGTCACTGCACATTAGCACCTGGAGAGGTACCTCATTACTCCTCTGTGATAGGAAGCAGCATTTTGTTAATTAAGCAACCCCCTCTCCAAGGATATTTATATTGCGTTTGACCTTTAGCTTTATAAACTGTTGCAATGCCTGGCCTTGAATGGCTGGATCAGAGGGTGGGGCATTGCAATGTTGAGAAATATTGTCACCCTATAGAGGTTGTACTAATTTGCATTCCTGCTTAAGTTAATGTTAGATTTTAATATAGATGGAAGAGAGTTGAGTTTTCAGGAGGAACTGAAAGCAGAATGATAGAGGTGGGGGGGGAATGAACCCTGAATTTGGTGTCAGGAAACTGGAGTGCTGTTTTGATAATCATAATAATAATAATGAGAAAAACGGTGACCACCACTCAGGCAAGGGAGCTCCCATTTACTATGAGCCAGGCACCCAATGTGAGAGGAATTATCTCGTGTAACAGTGGCTCTGAGAGGTTGAGTAACTTGCCCACAGTCACACAGCTTAACGACAGATTTAGGATTCACACCCAAGACTGTCTGATTGCAAAGTCCGTGCCCTTAACCTCCATGCCACACTGTCTCCTGGCCCACCTTGGTCCAGTCAACGCCATGTCTCCCAGCTTCTCAAGAAGTCTGGTAAGTTCTTGGAGTCTGTCAGCAAGGGACTGACCCCCCCCCCGCCCCCCCCCCGATTCACCTGATCTGTGTGGAAGCGCAGGTGGTGTCAGGAGAGCAGTGCATACATAAAGGTCTGGCCTAATGACTCTCTACCTTAGGGAAGCTGGAGATGATGCGGTCCCGGCTCACAGGGGGCCCCAAAGGCAGCAGGGAGGACCTCATCCTTCCAGAGCGTTCTGTAGACCCAACCAGGGGAAAGAGAGTTAGGGAGCTGTGCCAGGGACTCACCTGCAAGTTTATGCCTAACTCTTCAGTTCCAGACTGGCCGGCGTGGCTCAGTGGTTGAGCCTTGACCCATGCACCAAGAGGTTGCTGGTTCGATTCCCTGTCAGGGCACATGCCCAGGTTGTAGGCCAAAACCCCAGTGGGGGTCATGCAGGCGGGGGCCAATTGATGTTCTCTCTCATCAATGTCTCTATCTCTCTCCCTCTAATCAATAAAGAAAAAATAGAAATAAATAAAAAAACAGATCCAAGACTCCTCCTGTCAGGAGTATGGGCCAGAGGTCATCTCTTTCAATCTGCAGCCAGTATGGTGGCGGTGGTTGGTGGGGAGCAGGCCTGCCCCACCCTGCCTGAAAGTCCAGAATACCTGGCTCTCCCACCTCTTGTCGGTGTCCAACCAGGAGTGGCCCCTCTCTGAGCTATGACAGGTTGTGAGTGAGGCATGGACAAACATCGCAGGCCTGGAAGGCCAGGTGCAGGAAGTGGAATGGGGGTGGGGGTGGAGTCCCTGATCCTAGTCTCTAAGGGTTGAAGGCTCTGGGTGGGCTCAGGGCCTTAGGTTTCAGCCCATGGGCCTGTCACTCCAATCAGGACTGGCCCCTGACGCCTATTCAACAGCCCTACCTCTCCTCCTGTCCGCACCCCTTTCCCCTCTAGGATGGCCTTGACAGAGGCCTGTGGTCCTCGCTCTGACCTAGCTCTCCTCCAGGACCAGAACCGGCCTGGCCCAGGGTGGGGGTTCGGGAAATGCTGAGGTCCCGGGGCCTCAGGCCGCGTTCAGATTATAGCGGTGGGAGGTGGGCGGGGGCCGCTGCTTCCTCCCGACCCCAGCCTCCGAGACGCGCCCTCACCCGGGTGGGCCGAGGGTGGGACAGAGGGGCGCGGCGGACTCACCCGCAGCGGCTGCGGAGGATCCGGATTCAGCGCGGCCGGATCTGGCTGGGTTCGCTGCCGCAATTACCATGGCAACGACGGCCACGCGGGACCGGAGGGCGTCTGACGAATCCTGGACGTCCGGGGCTGGGGCTGGGCGGGGCTCGCAGCGGAAAGGTCCCACGGCAGCCTGCACGAGCCGTCACCATAGCAACCAGAACCGCGCGGTAGCGGCGGGTACTGGACGAGGCTGCTGCCTGGACGCAGCCCGAGCTCCGGCGATCACCATGATAACGAGGGCGGGGCCGGATATGGGGCCATGGGCGGGGCCAGGGCGCCGGGGTGGGGCCTGGGCTCCAAAGGCGAGGTCTGGGCGGGGCTGACGATGGAGAGACCGGTGCACCGGGTCACATAACCGGGACGGGTGGGGGCTCAAACTGGTAGGGATTATGTGAAGCGTTTAAGTATTTATTTTTGTAATATATTAAATACGATTTTTTTCTGGTTATGTAAATATTTCATATTTTTCGTTATATATTGGTATGGAGGGATCTTCAAGATCCCTTGACTCCTTTCACATCCCATATCTCATCTATCAGTTAATTCTATATGTTCTACCCTAAAAATCTGTTCAGTATTCTCTATCTTTCTCTCACCTCCACTGGTATCACCCTGGTCCAAACCATCATCTTCTCTCCTCTTAACTGGTCTTTCTGATTCCATCCTTGCACCTATTCCTTTTCCTGTTCAGCAGGATATCCTGTTGAAACACAGATCAGATCATGTCCGTCCTTTAATGTCTCCTCCTGGCTCTCAGATTAATGAAGTCTTTATAATGGCCCAAGAGGCCCTGTGTGATTTGCCCTGGCCCCATTTCCTCCCTTACTACATCTCTTAATGCTTACCACCCTCTTCCATCCCATCCCCCATGTTCCAGTGGCCTCTTTGCTGCTGTTTCTCTAACAGGTCAGGCATACAGATGTTAGCACTGGCTGTTCCCTGGGCCTGGAATACTCTTTCCCCAGTTATTCACATTGCTCCCTTTCCTCACCTTTTTCAAGTTTGCTCAGATGTAACCTCTAGATGAGGCTTCCCCTAGCACCCTACTTACAACTGCAGCATCCTCCCAACCCCTTATTCTGCTCTGTTTCTCCAGGCACTTACTATTTTCTAACATATTATAAACTTATTGTTTATGGTGATTGTGTATTTCCCTCCAATGACAGCAACAGGGGTTTTTGTTTAGCTCACTGATGTATCACATTGGCTGAACAGTGCCTCACATAGCAGACACTTAGTGAATGTTAAGTGAGTGAACAAATATTAAATTAAAAAAAAGAAGGTGGAGCCCTGGCCAGTGTGGCTCAGTTGGTTGGAGTGTCCTCCCATACCCCAAAAGGCTGAGGTTTTTTTTTCCTCACCTAAGGACATGTTTTCATTTTTTGTTCAGACAGAGTAGGAGGGAGAGAGAGGAAGAGAGAGAGAGAAACATCGACGTGAAAGGGACACATTGAGTGGCTGCCACCCGCACGACCAACCAAGGCTGGGGACAAACTGCAACCGAGGTACAGGTACACGCCCTTAGTGGGAACTGAACCCAAGTCTCTCTGGACCGCAGGCCGAGCTCTAACCACTGAGCAGAACCGGCCAGGGCAAGGCTGAGGTTTTGATCCCCGGTCGAGTTGCCTATGGGAAGGCAACTGATCAATGTTTCTGTCTCCCCTGCATCTAAAATCAGTTAGCATGTTTTCGGGCGAGGATTAAAAATAAAAAAAGAGCCCTGGCCAGTTTGGCTCAGCGGTTGGAGCGTGGGCCTGTGGACCAGAGGGTCCTGGGTTCGGTTTCTGCTAAGGGCACGTACCTCAGTTGTGGTTTGTCCTTGGCCCTGGTTGGGGTCTTGTGGGTGACAGCCAGTCGATGTGTCTCTCTCGCATTTATGTTTCTCTCTCTTTCTTCCTCCCACTCTATCTGAAGATAAATGCAAAAAGTGTCCTCAGGTAAGGATAAAAAAAAATAAATTAATTAAAAATAAAAAAAAAGATGGACAACAGTATTTGAAGTATGCTGCAGCAACATTAAAAAGTAAATAAATCATATTTATTTGGATAAGTTTAGCTTACATCTGGAAAGATACCAGTGGTTGCCACAGGTGTGGACAACCTGTTGTTTGGGGACTAAGGGACACGTTTTTCTTTCATACTTTTTGATTTTTCTCTATGTGTATATATTGCCTATTGAAGAAATAACTCAAATGAAAATAAATACTTTGGAACTCAGAATACCATCACGTCCCACTTTACTGGCCCTTCCACGTCAGCTCTGATGTACTTTGGTGTGCTTCCCGCCTTCGACTCTTTCCTGCAGACACCTCCTCCTCTGTAATCATGGCATAAGAGCTCTTGCTGTAGTATTGGCATTTGATTGGAGTCTAGCACCCTGCAGTGGCAAGTGATGGACATGTCTACCACTTAGGGACCTTAATCTGCATTGTTCTCAATCTGATGGTGCCTGAATACCATAAGCCTGGCTACTAGAGATCATGCAACCAAATTAATTCCTGTAATTAATGGCTGTTTGAAAGCTGGCCCAATTCACTGAGCTCCTGTGAGCTAGTTTCTGTTTAGAGAGTGAGACACGAGGGGCTAGATAGCCTCCAGAGGTGCTTGTAAAGGTTGTGTAATCACAAAAATGAGATAGTAGTTAGGAGAGGAGGATGGGATGGCCATGGAAAAAGGGAAGAGGCCCTGGCCTGTTTGGCTCAGCGGTTAGAGCGTAGGCCTGAGGTCCAAGAGACCCGGGTTCGGTTCCCGCTAAGGGCATGTACCTCAGTTGCAGTTTGTCCCTGGCCCTGGTTGGGTCGTGCGGGTGGCAACCACTCAATGTGTCCCTTCCACGTCAATGTTTCTTTCTCTCTCTCTCTCCCTCCCACTCTATCTGAACAAAATATTAAAAAATGTCCTTGGGTGAGGATAAGTAAAAAAAAAAAGAAAAAAGGAAGAGGACACAGGCATTGATAATGTTCTGGTGGTGAATTCACAGGTGGTCATTATATTTTTATCTTTCACAAATTAACAAATATGCTACATACAATGTTATATGTATATTTAAAAAGATAAAAAGGAGACTGAAAAATGATAAAATTGAAGAGCATTTGTTTTAAAAGATTGTATACCCCACCCTAGCCGGTTTGGCTCAGCAGTTAGAGTGTTGGCCCACGGACCAGAGAGTCTTGGGTTCAGTTCCTGCTAAGGGCACGTACCCTGGTTGAGGTTGTGCGGGAGGCAGCCACTCGATGTGTCCCTGTCACGTCGATGTTTCTCTCTCTCTCTCTCTCCCTCCCTCCCTCCCACTCTATCTGAACAAAAATAGAAAAATGTCCTAGGGTGAGGATAAAAAAAAAAAAAGATCATATACCCAGATTCTGAGAGGCCCAGGGTTCCCAGCTTTGAGAAACTATTTCATTCAGCTTCCCATTTCACAGACAAGGAAACTAAGGCTCACATAATTTAAAAGATTTGCCTAGTGAGTTAGAACTAGAATCAGAAACCAGATTTCCTGACTCCCAGCCCTGTGCTTTTCATACCACCTTCCTAGAAAAGCTAGGATGCTCAGGGTTAGACACCCTTCATGACTTTGTTCTTTGAAGGACAGCAGTAGGGGGCAGATCTCTACATCACAACATGGGATCCTTGACACACAGATCTAAGTCAATTATCTCAATTTCAAAGCTAAATGTGCTGGAGGCTGATGCTTGGTGCCTTTGTTAGTGAGTTTCACTGCTATGGGCCCAGGCCTAGGGCGTAGATTTATGTGAGTTGCTCTACCCCCTCCTATGCCTCAGTTTACTCAGTTATGAGATGGACTTGACTATTTACTTTAAGTGTTTGTTGTGAGGATCACACAGGATGGTGAAAATGCTTTGTAGATTAGTATTCAAGTCCAGCTTGTGTGGCTCAGTGGTTGAGCATTGACCCATGCACCAAGGGGTCGCCGGTTTGATATCTGGTCAGGACACATGCCCAGGTTGTGGGCCAAATCCCCAGTGGGGAGCATGAAGGAGGCAGCCAGTTGATGTTCTTTCTCCTTCATCGATGTTTCTCTTTCTCCCCACTTCCTCTCTCTCTCAAATCAATAAAGGAAAAAAAAATTTTTTTAAAGCTTGATTCAAGTCCATTACCCATTCATTTATTCTACACTTACTGAAAGCCTCCTAGTATATTCCTGGCATTGGAGAGGCAAGTAAACAGGACTGACATATTTTTCATCCTCTGGGAAATTGGAGTCTACTGGGGGAAACAGAGAAGTAAATAGAGCATTAGTGGAGGGAAGTGTGCCATGAGGCAATTAATTTAGCTATAGGATCATTTACTGACTTGGAGTTGGGGAGGTGATAGGCTTCATGAAGGTAGTGTCCACCAAGCTGTGTTCTGAAGGACAAAGGTGGTTAATGTTACAAGCAGCCCAGGCTGCAGGAAAGAGTTGGCCATTTGGGAGATTAAGAGAGTCCAGCATGGCTGGAGGAGGCCATCACCCAGGGTCTTGAATTACAGGCTAGAATTTTAAACTCTGTCCTGAGGCCTCTGAGAGCCATAGAGGGTTTTAGGCAGGTGATGGCTGGGTCTGGCTTGCTTTCTAGCACAATTGCTCCAGGGTGTTGGGTCCACCTGCAGGGGCCGATCTGTGTCATTACCAGGCAATCAGCCTGCAAAGCAAGGAGCATGGGCCAGGGTTAGGCAGTCTTGGGTCTAGCCAGTGTGGTTTTCGCAAGCTACTAAAAAAACCTCTGAAGTTCCTATCTGTAAACCGGATGATGTTATCATTTCACCGGGTTACTTTGAGGATTAAAGGCATGCAAAATGTTCAGTACAGAGAAAGGCATATACATTCACTTCCCTTCCCTTCTGTGCTATGCTGAGCTGTCTTTGTTCCCCGCAGTAACCCGGTAAAGTATCATTGTCCCCTCTTTACAGCCGACCCCAGCCCGGAGCTGTTCGCGCCTGCGTGGTGGTCGCCAAGCGCGCAGAGTGCGGCGCTGTAGACGCTGTTGAGGTCGCCTGGCAACTGGGTCGCCTGGCAACGGGCGTGCACTACGGGGACCGCGCAAGCTGAGGCAGGTGAGCCAGCTGCACCCGACAGGGGCCCAAGACAGGGGGCCCCTAGACCCATCTAGTCCAGCTCACATGGGTCCCGCGCCCTCACAACCCAAGGCTCTTTCATCCGCGGCCGGACCCCCGCAGCCCATGCCCCTTAGAGGAGCTCAGGACTCTGTCCCCAGGGCCCACAGTTCCCTGCAAAGGGAGCCCAAATGGAAAATGGCCGCGTCCCTTCCAGACCGGCCGTCTGCCTCTCCTTGTCTCCTGGTGCCCAAGATCAGAGTTCGGCTTACTTCTTTAATTGGAGTAGAATCTTACAGGGCTGGGGCTGGTCACTGCCACTAAACGCTGGCAACAACCACCACTACCATAATGCCAACCACAGCCAACATATCTGGATCCCTGTTGTGCCAGGCTCATGAGTATCAGTCAATATGCCAATTCTAGGAGTGAGGGAAGGAGGTGCTATTATCAAGTCCTTTTGCAGCTGCAGAAAGACACAGCTAGAGGAAGAAATTGTCAAGGGCCACACATGGCCCAGTTCTGGAGCCTGTTCTTTTTTTTTTTATCCTCACCCGAGGACATTTTTTTTCCATTTTTTGTTCAGATAAGGAGAGAGAGAGAGAGAAACATCGATGTGAAAGGGACACATCGAGTGGTTGCCACCCACACAACCCAACCAGGGCCCGGAACAAACTGCAACTGAGGTACGTGCCCTTAGTGGGAACTGAACCCGCGTCTCTCTGGACCACAGGCCGATGCTCTAACCGCTGAGCCAAACTGGCCAGTGGAGCCCGTTCTTAATACTAAGCCACATTGTCCATAGTTGCTCATTGTGTGTGTGTGTGTGTGTGTGATAAAAATAATCCACTTTTTAACCTTTTAAAACTTAATTTCCTCTGAGTTCCTCTTTTATGAATGTGTCAGAAGCATCTGAATACAGCCCCTGATGGGTTAATGAGCTGGACCCTGATTTGAACGTTGGCTCCTAGCCTTACCAGTTCTGTTTCCTCCAGCAGGTTCCCTATCCCTAAACCTCAACTTCCTCCTTTGTAAAATGAGGATAATGCAAGCCCTCTTCTTTGGGGGTAGTTGATTTAGATACTAGGTATTACTGGCACAAGATAAGCACTAAATTAGTGAGCATGTTAGTAAAGTGTGGGTGGTTTCTTCTGTTCTTAAGCATGGGAGAACTCTGGAGTTTGCGGTTGGGGCTGCTACTTACTCTCACTATGACCTTGAGCAGATCCCTTCATTGCTCTCAGCCTCAGTTGGCTCATCTGTAAAATGGTTATAAAAATATTCAGCCAGCTGTGTTGACAGTTTTGAGGATCAAATAAGAAGTAGCTTCTAAATCACAGTAGTAATAATGACAACTTTTTGGGTTCTTTTAATCAGTGGTTTCGGCAGAGCTTCATTTTGAAAGCTAGAAAGTCACCTTCTGCAGGTGTGGAAAGATGGCCCACACCCAGATCTCTATGTACCTGCCCCCCGATGTCAACCCCACCCAGGCTGCCATTGCCTATGGCTGTCGGGCCCTGCCCAAGCTGAATGAGGAGCTGCAGTCGGAGGACTTGTTGACAAGGCAGAAAGCCCTCATGGCTCTGTGTGATCTCATGCACGACCCTGAGCATGTCTATGTGGCCATCAACATAGGTGAGCATGTTGCAGAGCCCAGGTGACCATGACTGGGGTCTGAATGGACAGACATAGAATAGCTGAGGTGGGAGGAGCTGAGGTGACTTGGTCCCTTCACAGCATCCCTCCCAGCCGGTCAGTCGGTCCTTGCAGGTCAGCAGCTGACCCAGAGCCACACACCAGCCCTCTCTGCTCTGGCTTGACCACAAATCCACCAAACAGCCCTGTTTATCTGTCTCATCCACAAGGCTGTCACAAAAGATAGGCACATGCCCTACTGAAACTACATAGTATCTGGGACCTCTGTCTCTTGTTTTCCACTCTCCTAATTACCAAAATAACAGTTGAGGCCACACCTTTTCCGGATCAGCTGAAGGGCTGGTTTAATTTCCGAGGTGGTGGTCCTAGCACAGCCTTGAACACCAGGTGCAGCTTCAGTAATCAGGGTTGCTATTGAATGAGTCTGACTCTGGGCCAGCACCACCCCACATTCAGTGCTCCTGTTGTCTTAGTCCTCACTGTACCCGCCCCGGGAGGGAAGGAGCATTCTCAACCAACAGGTAAGAAAATAGAGGTGCAGAGAAGGAGTGTGAGGCTAGAGTGGGCTGACAAATAAATAAAGCAGGATTTTTATTTGCTCAGTCTGGCATCCCTAGGTATAACCTATTCAAGGATACATGACTAGTTGGGGACAGAGTTGGAATTAGATCCTGGTCTCTCCAAATGCAAAGTCTATTTTCTTAATCTCATGGCAGACTGTGAGAGAAGAAGGCACTGACAGAAAGGGTGCAGGGAGATTCATGAGGGGGTTAGATGAACCGGTCCCCAGGTGTGAGCACACAGAGCCCCCTGCAGTGACTCTGAAATACTTCCTAATTGACTCCCCCATGCTCCAAAGCAGCAGAACTTGTGGTAACCTCTGTTGCCTGATGTTGGGTTGACCTGTTGACTTCTGGGCTAGTTGAATTTTGAGACTGATAAATGTTCAAAGGTTTTTCTGCCTTGCAGGCTGCCTGGAGAGTCTGAAAGCTTTGCTGAAGGACAGCAACCACATGGTGCGGATCAAGACCACCGAGGTGCTGTGCATCATGGCGACCCATAATGTGGGCAGGTGGGCTGCTGCTTGTGGAAACCAATGTCAGGAGCTGGGTGGCATGCTTTTGAATGACCTTGAGTGCTCTGAATTTATGTATGTAGCACAGTTCTTCAGCGGGGATTCTATTTGGCCGAAACAGGTTTCAGTGGGGTGGTTTTGGCATCCTCTCTGGGGCCTGATGGAGCCCTCTGTTCCAGACCCCTTCTTATGTTAGTTTCTAGCTCTGAGCCTTCCCCTTTGAAGGTGGGAAGTTCAGGCTCCATACCCACAAAATTTAGCCTTTTCTTAGCTCTATATATGGGCATCCAAGTTTCCTCTTTCAGACCCCAACAGGGACTATGGCTTTGGCCCCGTCCCCATGTCCAGCCTCAAAGTGCACACCTGGTCGGGGCTAGTGGCCTCCACCCCTGCTCATGCCACTGAGGATATTCTAGGTGTCTGGCACCTGGAAATGCCCCTTTCCTGTGTAAGCACAGCGTCGAATGTTACACTTAAAAATGGTTCATCCAGCATTTTGGGTTGGAGTCAGTTTGTGAGGGGGCCATTGGAGGTGCGTTCCCACAACAGCTCAGTTTACCCTCTTGACCTGGGATCACTAGCTTTACTTTGTTTTCAGAACAGATCCCCAAATCACAAAGAGCCCCCAAGCCCTACTGGGGACTGCTACCCACTGTCACAAAATCAGCAGGGAAGTGGGAAAAGGGATGCTAATAGTGATGACAGAGGGACAGGGTGCTCACAGTTGTGGGCGTGTGTGTTGCACACAACAGACACCCCTTCAAAGAAGCTTCAAATCCTTTCAGGGGGTCAGCGGGTCTCACAGATCTGAAGTTCTTTCAGTCCTGTCTCTCCCCAGACCTTCAGTGCCCCGGCGTCCTCGCCTGCACCTGCTGTGGGCAGAGAGTTAAGTGAGTTCATGCACATGGAGTGCTCACCTGGGGACACCTTGGAAATGTCCGCCCCGTGTTGACTGGTGGCCGCTCCTTTCTCCGGGGACTGCTGCCTCCCTATCCCACAGTTGCTCAACGCCATCTCCATACGGCCACCTCAGTTTCTCCGTCCCCTTGATCTCCTCCTCCCCGACTCCTCTCTGGGATCTGTCCCAGTCCCTGGAAGGAGATGTGGCTAGCCCAATCCTGTGTGCAGTCACTATGAACGGGGTGCACTGGGGAGGGCGTGCACAGCGAGGCCGAAATGTGAGTCTCTTTAAAAACGTTTAATGACTGTAAAATATTCTGGAAGGTTTTAGCATGAAGATCCTTCATTAATGTCTTTGAGTTCTTGCTCTACTTTAAAGAAACCAAAGCTGCAAATTCACACACACACAGAGGGCAGACTGGTGCAGGGGACAGAGCAGTGGGTGGGGTGAGGGCAGGAGCTCTGGCCTGGGGCGTCAGGGCCCCCACCCTTTCCTGCTCTGTGTCCTGGCAAGACTTTTGGTAGAATCTGACCAAGCTGACCTGTGACAGACCCGGGCAATGCTTTAATACCTCAGGGACACAGAGAAGCGAAGCATCTCACATCCTTTTCTCTTTATGGACCTGACATGGACTTTAGGTAGTAACCCCCAGTGAGGGGTGATGGCCGCTGAGAGGAGAGATGCTTGGACTTGGACAAGTGTAAGGAAACCATCAGCTTGGTCAAGGTGATGGTAGGTTTGTTTACCGGCACTGGGTGGTCTGAGCACCGGAAGTTTCCCAGCTGTAGCCATGTTGTGGGGTGGGGGTTGGTGGAGAAACCACCCCGGCCTGCTGCGTCCTGGCTGCACACTCTTTGCTCTTCGGTGTTCCCCGCCCTTCCTCGTACTCACCTGAGCGAGGCACCTCGGCGGGCAGGCCCAGCAGCCCCGAGCCCTGGACTAAGACTGCAAAGGGCCCACACTAACTGGGACCAACTTCGGAAGTTCGCTCGGGGTTTAGTGGTGACCTTGTAACTGAAGCCAGCAGCTCTCAGAGCCCGTCAAGCGCTAAGGAACGGCCTGTGTTGCAACACTTCTGGCTTCTTGGACCCACACAAGTAGGGGTGGCAGGAGGTCAGGGTGGAAGCCTGGGGCTTAGCATCTTGGCACTGAGGAGTTCCGTTCGTTTGTATGATGGTCCCTACACAGTAGAGCCTCCCGAGTGGCCTGGCTCCCCTGCCCAATGACAAACACACGGGTGGGCAACTGGGTGCTGACTGAAGAGGCTCAGACACCTCACGCCAGCTAGTCAGGGAAGACCCTGCAACTGGGGTGTCCCAGTCTCATTTCTCCTCCAGGACCAACTCAGAACTCCCCAGGTGGTGGAGTCCCGGCCAGCTCGGCAGGAGCACAGATTGGATGAGCACTTTGTGTGGCTGGGCACTGGGCCAGGGCCTCACTTCGTCAGTTCTCACTGATTCCTGACCTCAGAAATCCTCTCGACAGAGGAGATTGGGTCTAGTGGTTAGTTGGTTAATCAAAAGAAATGGTTAAAAAGCCAGGAATCAGAGAAATTGTACATTCCCTTTGAACAGTTCACTTTAACCCAAGCGCAAATGATTGAGCATTCATCAATCCCTGTGCCAGCCAGGCCTTTGCTTTGACATGGGCCCACTGGCTGGTGTTTCCCTTCATCTTCTGGGCTTAAACCACACCTGTAACTTCATCTAATTTGCTGGTTTGGTTTTTAAATTTTATTTATTTATTTATTTATTTATTTATGTATTTATTTATTTATTTATTTATTTAATTTTTTAAATAATCCTCACTCTAGGGTATTTTTCCGCTTATCTTCAGATACAATGGTGGGGGGTGGGGGAGAGAAACATCAACGTGAGAAGGGACACATCAGTTGGCTGCCTCCTGCACAACACCGACCAGGGCCGGGGACTGAACCGCAACCGAGGGACATGCCTTTGACTGGAATTGAACCTGAGACTCTATGGTCCATGGGCCGATGCTCTAACCTCTGAGCCAAACCAGCCACAGCAGGTTTGGTTTGTTTAAAGTAGAGCAAGAACTCAGACATTAAGAAGTAATCTGCTCTTAGATACAGAGAACTTTCTGTTGCTTGTCAGATGGGAGGGGGGTGGGGAATGGGTGAAAAAGAAGAAGGAATTAAGAAGTACAAATTGGTTGTTAGACTGATGAACCTCAAAGGGAAGCAGGGAGGGAGGGTTGGATGAGATAAACCAAAGAACTTCTATGTGTATATGCATAACCAATGGACACCAACAATAGTGTGGGGAAGGCAGGAGAGGGGTGGGGTTGGGAAGGAGGGGCCAATGGGGATAAAAGGGGGGACATCTGTAATACATTCAACAAGATAAGTAAAAAAAAAAAAAAGAAGTAATCTGTATGCAAAAATCTTCTAGAATGTTTTACAATCATCTCATTTTCTTTTTAGAGACTCACTGCTGAGTCTTCCCAAAACGTTCAACTTGGTTTTCATAAGGAAATTGAAAAAAACTCTTATCTAATTGGTTTACCCAATGTTTAATTAACGCATATAATTACAACAATGAGGATAACAGGCATACATAGGTTTGGAGGCGAGCAGCTGGGAGAAGAGGGAGGGGCAGCCAGTGGTTGGCTGCCCAGGGGGCACCAGTGCTGGGCGGGTGGCTAGCAGTAGGCACCCGACTGGCACCGGAGATTCTGAGCCTCTTCCACATTTCGTGGGGAGGACTGAGGCTCAGAGCAGTCGGAGTCCTAGCTAGGACAGGGCAGAGCTGTGGCCCTTTCCACCACACAAGCCCCTGCTGTCATTGCCCGGAGGGAACCCCCCACATGCTGTCCACCTCTGGCCCTTGTCTTCTCTCAGGAAGCCAGAGGGATGTGCCTGCAGCAGCCAGCACAGGTTCAGAATCCAGTGCGGGTGAGGGTGGTTCTCCCTGGGTCCTCTCCGGGCTTGCTCTTAGTTGTGTCTAAATCCACCTTCTCTTCCCCAGAGAAGGCTTTTTGAAGCATGACATCATCGCTGCCCTGTCCGGCCTGCTGAACGACCCCCAGACAGCCTGCCGGGAGAACCTGCACTTGGCATTCAAGCACCTGGCCCAGCTGCCTTCAGGTAGGCTCACAGTGGGTGCTCGCAGCCCCTCAGCCGCCCCGGTCGGGCTGCACCGTGCTGCAGGTCAGTCTAGAGCACATTGTTTTAGAAGTTATGCTTTAATTAAGGTACAACATACATATTAAAAAGGCACCAATCATACGTGAACATTTGATTAAATTGTACTAAAGCAAACATGCGCAGAACCACTACCCAGATGAAGACGTGTATGGAGTACCCCCAGCTGTCCAGGAACTTCCCATGTACCCCCTACCAGTCACGACCCTCACCCAAAGGCGAACAGTATCTTCGACTTATAAGATCATAAATGAGTTTATGCCTCTTTAAAAACTTTATGTAAGTGGCAACATATAGCCAGTACTATTGTTTCTAACTTTTTTTTGCCCGACATTTTGTCTCTGAGATCCACATGTTGCGTGGTACCGATTTTGGCTGGTTTGCTTGGAGTGTGGTATTCACATTGTGTGAGGATACTACAGTTTATTTATCCACTAAGTACTATAGTTCATGATCCACTGTTGCCAATGTACCTTGAATTGTTTCTGGTGTATGGCTACCAGGAATAGAGAGGCCATAAACATTCTTACAAAAGTCTTGCAGTGGACATCGTATGCATTCCTTTGGAGATACACCTAGGAGGAAATACACCATGTCCAGCTTTATAAGATACTACAAATGATTTTTGAAATAGTTATTCCAGTTTACACTTCCGCCGGTAGTGGGTGGAGTTCCGGGTGCTCCCTGGTCTCACCCACACTTGAGCAATCCTGTCTTTTTACTTTAGCTATTTTGGTGAGCGTGTGGTAGTGTCTCATTTTGGTTTTAATTTGTATTTCCCTGGTGATTGCAACTCTGTAAATGTTCTCTTTTATAAAGTGCCAAAGTACATTAAAGGATTAAAAAGTCCTGCCTCAAAGCCCACTCTGCCTCCTGGCTTGAAGTCACACCCCCCCCCTTCCCCAGTGAGATGCAGAGTCCAGGGTAGTGGCCACCTGAGGATTGAAATTTGTGTCAGGTTGACATTTGCCCCATCACATGATGCAATGAGCATTTCAAATGAGGAGCTCATCGCCCTGGCCGGTTTGGCTCAGCGGTTACAGCGTCCGCCTGCGGTCCGGAGAGGCCCGGGTTCGGTTCCCGCTAAGGGCATGTACCTCGGTTGCAGTTTGTCCCCGGCCCTGGTTGGTCGTGCGGGTGGCAGCCACTCGATGTGTCCCTTTCACATCAATGTTTCCCTCTCTCTCTCTTCCTCTCTCTCCCTCCCACTCTGTCTGTACAAAAAATGGAAAAATGTCCTCGGATGAGGATTAAAAAAAAAAAAATGAGGAGCTCATCAAAGAGGCCTGTCATCAGGCCTTAAAGGGGACGCCCTGAGGCGGACAGACAGATGTGGTGGCCCAGGAGTCAAACAGACCTGGGTTCCCTCTTCACCCTGCCCCTGGTTCTCTGAGTGTCCCCGGACAGCCTATTTCCTCGTCCCTAAAATGAGGCTGAAGCAAGGGTCGAGTGAGAAGAGGCTCACCAGGCCCGTAGCACAGTGCCCTCCATGAAGTTTGCTGTACACCTTCAGGGCCAGGTGTGAGCGCTGGTGATGGGGTCAGGTGCAGCGAGGCAGGCCTGAGGGGAGAGGGTGCTGGGTGTGGGGGGCTAGACAGCAGAAGCCCCTGGCGGTCTTTTAAATTTTTATTTATTTATTTTTGTTAATACTGCAAGACCCTAACTGTGGCCGGGGATGGAACCTGCAACCCAGGTACGTGCCCTTGACCAGGAATCAAACCCACAACCCTTTGGTCCGTGGGCTGACACTCTAACCACTGAGCCACACCAGCCAGGGTCCCCGGCTGTCTTATACAAAGACCACCCCTATCCCTTGCTGGCAGAATCGTCTGCAGGGCTCTGGGGATGGGGACCTGCACACACTGTCCTTAAATGGACTTTAGCCGATTCTCCTGTCTGGCCATGGTTGAGAGGCACTGGGATATTGGGGTGTGTCTTGGGGCTGAGCCCTGTGCTCACTATGCAGGAACCTTGAAAGTTAGAGAGACAATGACAGTGAACATCAGGTACCATCACTCAGCTTTGCTAAATCTTAACATTCTACCATATTTCATATGTGCTTGAGATTCTTGTTAAAAAAAATACAGTCCAAGCCTCCTGTGAACCTCCACTCATTACCCTTTCTCCTGCCCTCCCCAGAGCCACCAATAATTTGGGGACTATGTCCCCAATGCACATCTTTATATTTTACCACAGACGTGATTCAGTGTAGATCTTTCCTTGCGTGTTTTCAAACTATGTAAAGGGATCTTGCTGTCGGTATCTCTTCGCTACTTAGAAAACGTAATGTTATAATTTTGAGAATTATGCATGCTGTGTCATGGGCTGTGTTTCATTATGAGAACGAGGCATGCCCTTCTGGTGCTCAGACGTGTACTTTCATGCAGTAGACTCACCCCTGCCCGGCCGCCAGGCATGCCGTTGTTTCTGCTCCTGAGCGGTGGGGAGCTCAGCTGGAGGACAGTGCTGAGGGCCGGCGTGCTGTGCAGAGTCACTGCGTGTGGCTTCGCTGTCTCCTGTGACCAGGGGAGGGGGCCTCTCCCCTCTGTCTGGCGCCGCCTCGGTCTCCTCTCCTGCCCAGTGCCTCCTGGGAGCCTGAGCCCATTTGTTGAACTGTTTTTTTCCATTTCTTATTGATTTGAGGGAGTGTTTCATTTATTCCGGGTTCCAACCCTTGTGGGTTACACATTGGAAACACCATTTCCCAGGCTGGATGTGTGGCTTTTCACTGTTTGTTTGTTTACTCATTGGCCCAGCAGTTTTTCCTTTGAATGTAGCCAGTTTCATCAATTTTTTTTTTGTGTGGATTTTTAATGGGGAGGGGGGCACTGTTTAAGAACTCAGGAAGATGTTCTGCCATATTTTCTTCTAAAGTATAAGAGTTTTGCTTTTTACATTTAGCCTGTGAAGGTCCCTGGAACGGATTTTTATTTCTGTTTTGAGGTCTTGTCTAACCCTTGCCAGACCAACACTGTCTTAATTACAAAAGCTGCGTGGTCATCTGGGTTCTAGTGGACAGGTCCCACCCTCCTGCATCTCTTCCCTGCAAACTCTTCTGGAAGCTACACACTCTGGGTGCACCATGAGGAGGAGGGGCACCATGGTTCTGACAAGCCTCATGGGGGCCCGAGTGGTGAGCCTCTGCCCGTTGCAGGATTTCCTGGGTGCTGCTCATTGTCTGATGTATTCAGAAGGGAGGCCAGGGGCTCTCTGGTGAGGGACATGTGGCAGTGGGGGGATGAAGGGGGAATAGCTAGAGGTGGGGAGGGAGACGCGCAGCGAGGTGGGCACCCCCGGAGGTCCATCTGGTTGAGGGAGGCTCTGAGAGCTGTGGCTTCTGGGTCGGCCAGTGGCCTTGGGGTGTTCTCACTGGGTCTGGGTGGACCGAGGGCCTTGTGTCAGTGGCTCCACTCTCACTAGTGGTGACTTTGGGCAGCAGCAAAGCCTGCTGGAGCCGTTTCATCACCGAGCATGAGCAACAACAGGTACCTGGGTGCCCGCGTGGTCTGCCGGGACAGCCCAGGCGCCGCCAGCTCTCGTCCTGGTGGTCAGAACCATGGTCTTCTATCCGTGGCCACACTGGAAGGCACCTTCTGCTCCCAGTGCAGTGCTCGGCATGTGGCTGGCACTCAGCAACCATGTTTAGCGGGTTTTGTGCCATATTTCAAAAGCTCATTTGTTAGTTGTTTTCTTGCTGCAATTCAGTCACTCACCCATTTGTCTGTTTGACAAATGTGTTGGGATATCTGGTGGGGAATGGAGGTCTTTCCTCTGAGTCCTTGCACTGAGTGGTTGGCTTTACTGTGTGGTTCCTCAGAGTAACCAGCAGGGGGCCCCACAGGACCAATGACAGCCCCAGTGGGCCTCAGGGTGGTGCCATTTCAGGCGAGGAGAAACCAGGATTGCAGAGGCAAATGCCACGCAGAGGCTGCAGGTCCAGGCTCCTGCATGCCGGCCTGTGATTCTGGAGGAAACTTGTCTCCTGTAGCCAGGTGTTTAGCTCCAATGCTGAAACTGAGGACTATTCTGTAACTGGACTTTGAGGTGCAGCTGAACAGCCTGAGTCCCAGGAAGTGTCCTCCTACCAGACTCACTGGCCATGCCCAGACCCCTTGGGCCCTCTCTCTGACGGTGACCTCGGGCCCTCACCGGCCCACCCAGGAGTCGGGCCTGGCTCCTCCCCATCATCCGCTCGTGTGCTGGCTTGGTGCTGGCGGCCCAGCCTTAACCACAGTATGTTGTAAGCACCGCTCTGTCCTGACCCTGTGTGCAGCCTGGGCTTGGGGGTACTGTGGGGGTGGAGGTGGTGAGGATGTTCTCAGACCTTTCCTGTGGAGACGGGCCTTAGAAAGGGGCAGGGCCAGGCCAGGGAGGGACAGGACACAGTGGGGAAATGTCTGGCACAGGTTTGATCCTGGTAGTTTGGAGGCGCTGGGGTACATCCCTGGAGTCATATACCATCAGGGCTGGAGAGAGAAATCAGGGCGCTGTGTCCAAAGGGAGCAGAAGGCATGAGAGGTGGACGTCTAAGTGGAGAGGTTGCTGGAGAAGCGAAGCGAGTGTCCCCGCCCAGGGCGTTCTGCCTGGTGAGGTGGCCCAGAGCAGTCCCCACTCTTCCCACCCTCCTGGCCCTGTCCCCTGGGGTGGAGGCACCTTGATGGCTGCCCCAGAGGGACGGGCCTTTCCTTTCTCATTGGCTTCAGGGTAGGGGCAGGGGCGCCAGGGCCCACGTCAGCCTTTGATGGGCAGCTGCTCCCTTCCTGGACTTAGCAAGGTGACACAGCCCACTGGAGTCCCAGCCTGTGCACCTGCTAGACACCTCCTTTCCCCTCACCCTCCCACCCCAATCCACCCGCCCCCTCCAGCTGGGAGAGCCATTCTCCTGTCTGACCCAGTCAAGCCTGGCCCCGGTCCCAGCGTCTGTCCCCATGCGCAATCTTGGCTCAGGTGGCTGTTCTCAGCCGTCTCCACAGGTTTTCACAACATTCCCAGGTGGTTTGGGACAGCCCATTGCACATGGAATTACCAAAACGATCAAGTCCTCCCTGGACATGCGCTGGGCATAACCAGCTGCCCTGGCCTAGGACCTACTCCACACCAAAGCTGCTCACCCTGCGCATCTCTCAGTGGGGCCAGTCCCCCCGTGTCATCCCTCCTGGGGCAGCCCCCTTGTCCTCATGGTGCAGCCAGCCCTCCCCAGCACTTGCTGGACCCACACCCAGGCCTGTCTGTCCTTGTACAGGCCCCAAGGAGCGTGGACACACAGAGCACAGCCCCTGGGACCCAGGCCCAGGCGGGCCCCTTGTTACACCCTACGCATGTGATGTTAGGAAGTCATCCCTCGCAGGGTCTCTGCTTTCCCTTCTGCAGGACGGAATCAATGCTCTCGGCTTCCCAGGGATGGGAGGGGCCTGGTATGTGGGGAGCCAGCAGAGGGGAGCTGGGGTTACTGTGACACTGTCATTCCCCATCACGTCATCTCAGGATGCCTGCGCGACCGGGGAGGGTAACAATGTCCTTGGAGCCACCCTCCACAGCGTGTCCAGGGAGAGGGTGTGGGGCCCTGTGGTCGGACCTGGGAGGAATTTCACTCGGAGAAGGTGGGTTAGAACAGCTCCTCCTGCACAGGGCGGGGCCTCTGTCTTTCAGGTGGCCCTCCACCAACTCTAGCCCCCTGTCACCATCCCCTCTGCTCATCCCTGACCTCGTTTTCCTCCTGGACCTTCAGCTCAGCTCATGCTTCCCCATGCTGGACACTGTTCAGGCACAGTCGAGGAAGAAGGTGGGTTGGACAGTACGGACACCCCTTCCCACCTCGCCCTGGCGTGGGTGCACCAGGAGGTGGGGTGCGGGAGAGGGGGCTTCCAATGCCCAGGGAACCGAGCCCTGAGGGACAGAGGGATCTCAGACTGAGGACGGGGAATGTCCTGAGAAGAAGATGGGTGCAGACAAAGACGAGTGGAGGGGGGAGCCGGGAGGGGCGCTGGCCCAGGGCAGCCTGCCCCCATCCTTGAGTGCCTCGGAAGAGAAGGCAGAACCCTCCCATTTGCCTCTAGTGGTGTATTTTTAGTTTAAAGATGCTCACAGTGAGGTTACTGATCTTTTCACAGTTGGCATTAAAAGCGTAAAGTAAGTCTCAATGATTATAAGTCACATGTTATTTCTTCTTATACAACAGTCCCCTTGGGCTTTTGCTGTTTGCTGTGGGAAGGTATGAAGGGAATCCCCACGTGGGCTCAGCGTGGCGGGGGTGGGATGGGGAGAGAGCGGTTGGTATATCTGTATACACCGTGTGTGTGTGTGTGTGTGTGTGTGTGTGTGTGTGTGTGTCTGCCACCCAGGGCTGTGTGTGGGTCCTGGATTTGAGGATGTGATGAAGGATGGTTCTGTGCTCCGCCTGGGTTCCTGCCCCTTCTGTCCAGGCACAGAATGATCAAGGGCAAAGCGAAGTGAGAACCCAGTCCTCAGGAGGCACCCCCCGCCCCTGCTCCTCCTGGGAAGGACGTGTCCACCACTCCCTGACCTTGACTTTGGGCCCTTTCACTACACAGTGGGTCCCTGCAGACAGCCTGCCTCAGTACTGAGTGTTACAGTCATTTGTAGGAGGCTGGTGCAGGGTGAACACACTTCCCTGGCTTCTGGCTAGTGCTTCGCACCCCGGGGAGATGCCTGGAACCAGAGGCAGCCGATGGTGGGCCTGCAGGGGCACCTCCTTCCCACACCCTGCAGACCCACCCGACACTGCTGGGGGTTGTCAGCACCCTTCATACTCTCTGGAAACGTCTTCTGCTCTGTGGGGACAACTCTGACCCTAGCAGAGGTGTCTTTAGGGTGTGAGGAGCTGGGCAGGGTCTTGGAGAAAATGGGAAGGGCAGGAGCCATCATCACCCCCAAACCTCAGCCCCTTGAGACACATGGGCCTGGCAGGGTTCCCCAGTTTTGCAGGTTCTTTCCTCTCTTGAGGTTGTTTGTTCTTGATGTTCATTTCAAGGTGATTTGACCTAAATGGGGGGGGGGCAGAGAAAAAGGAACCCCGGGATGGAAGGTGCCCCGGCCGCCCTCTCAGCCCTGCACACACAGCACGCTGGCCGAGGCTCGGCTCATTCAGGATATTTTATTTTCTTAAAGTAGACAATCTTTGACTTTCATACCATACCAGCTCCTCTTCCCTCTGTACATCTCTTCAAGTCCTTGGCTGTGATTCTGCGCCCTGACCTTGGACACAGGGGCACCGAGAAGGCGAAGAGAGATTTGCAAGGTCTCTGGCGCTGCCTTCCTTCGGGGCGGCAGCGGGACTCGTATTTACACACACTCCTCGCCAAGGTCCTTTCAGGGGGCAGGTGCCGCGGGCCCTGGGGCAGAACGCAGAGTGCGGTCCAGCAGGGCCTCCCTCAGGCTGCAGGGCGGGCTGAGCCTTCACAGGAGTCCCAGCCGCTCTCGCCTCCCGGCACAGCCACAGATAACTTCCTCTTCCAATCCCAAGACACTTCGCTATTGTTCATTCGCTCCTAGGTGAAGAACCTTCTTTAAATACATCACATTTATTTTCTGAAATAAAAATGAAGCAGAAACCGCACCAGTAACAGGACGCTGCACAGGCGTATGTACAACGCTGCCCTGCGAGGCTGCCACAGGGCGGCCGTCGCCCCCGCGGCTCGGGAGCAAGGACAGAATTGTCCAGAGAACAACTGTGACACTCAGCAAGCCAGACACGAAAAGGACCACCTGGACAAAAATAGGTTTTGAAAATCTGCATTTTAAAAAAGAATACTCAACTGCATTTGAAATTGTTTTTCTGCAAACCACCACGAGGTTTGGCCAAAAACAAACAAACAACAAGAAAAAATGATGTCAGAGAAGAAAAACCAGGTTTGCTTTATAAAACATCCGACGGGAGGAGAGAAGCTAGAACCCAGCTGGCCGGCTGGGATGAATCGTGCCACTCACATTGTTGTGTGGGCTTCTGCTGCATATTTTGAAGCTGTTTGAAGAGCAGAGTGGCTGGAGGTCTGGTCAGTGCTGGCATCTGGCCCTGGCCTCGCACCCAGTTCCAGAACGAACGTGGTACCAAGTGGCCCAGAGGTGGCATGTCCAGCAGGGAGGGAGCGGGACCCTCTCTGGTCCTCTTCTGGTCAGCAGCAAGGTCCCTGCTCTGGGGCAGAGCTGGCCTCCTCCAGGTGGCCCCACCGCCTCTCCCCGCAGTCCCAGGGGGGCCCCATTCAGAGTGTGCCAACGCGGGAAGGGAGAAGGGCCTGTAGGGAACTTGGTGACAGCTCCTCAGACCTTCAGGAAACCTCAACACTTTGGGGAACTTTGCCGTCTCCAGACTGTGTGTGGGTATGTGTTTACCTACCTAGCAATCTATCCATATATATTTATGTTTGTGGAAATGTGGGGGCCAAGGAGGCAGAGGGGCGGGGGGGGCATTCTCCAGGCCCCATTTTCTGCCCCTGGGCTGGGTCTCCCTAGCACATGGTGTTGGGGTGTGACACCTCAGGGGTTTCATCACAGGCAGTGGGCTGGCCTGGCCCCTCAGCAAAGGCCTATGTACTTGAGATTGTTCTGTATGATGACGTCTGTCACTGCGTCAAAGACAAACTGGATATTACTAGTGTCAGTGGCGCAGGTGAAGTGGGAGTAAATCTCCTTGGTCTCCTTGTTGCGGTTCAGGTCCTCGAACTGCCGCTGGATGTAGACGGCGGCCTCCTCGTAGGTGTTCTGGCCCTTGTACTCAGGGAAGCACACGGCCAGCGGGATGCGCCGGATCTTCTCCGCCAGCAGGTCCTTCTTGTTCAGGAAGAGGATGAGTGAGGTGTTGATGAACCAGTTGTTGTTGCAGATGGAGTCAAACAGGCGCAGGCTCTCTGCCATTCGACTCTGAGGGGAGGAACATGCTGGCGTCAGTCTGGGCGTGCAGCACAGAAAGAGCCCAGACCCGCGGCCCCTGGGAGGAAGCACCCCTCCCCCCCACCCGGCAGAGCCTCCCAGCCTGGGGCCAGCCTCCAGGAAAGCACCCTTCTGTTGGGAAGTCCTTCCTCTGCCAGGCCAACTGTCTTCACCCGTCTCCCGCAGGCTCTGAAGCCCCTGAAATGGCTGGCACCTCCCTCCAAGTCCCGAGAGCCTGGCGTGTGTTTGTAAGAGGTTCTTCTGGGCCCCAGTGGTGACAACGTGGCTTTTCTAACCTCGCACCCTGAGGGCCCAGCCTGCCCCACCTGCACCTCAAGCTCAAGTCTCCCATGGGAGACACTATCATCATGTCTCCCTCAATGGAGCGTGGCCAGCCTTCTGCCTGGCCGTCGGCTCCGCCTGCTGGGGTCCAGCCTGCACTTCTGGAACCAAAGGCTGGGGCTCCTCTGTCCCTGCTGGGCCTCGGGCTCACCTGAGGTCACACATGGCCCAGGGCAGATCCCAAGGCCCCACCGCCTGGTGTGACATGGGATGGTGGCTCAGGTGGTGACCACAGAGCGTGATACCCGGTCCTTCTTCACCACCCCTCCTTCTGGGGACTTTAAATGTGCTGTAGCAACTGCGGTTTTTTAAAAGAACATAAGCCCGTGGGTCTGACTTCCAAACCCACTGTTTCCACACAGAACTGGCAGTTCTAACTGCTGTGAGGAATTTCAGTTTCTACTCCTGGCGCAGTACTGCTGGTGGAAGCTGCCCCTTGTCTCCGGACGAGAGGACTACACAGTATCTAAAGTCTAGAACCAGTTTAGTTTAGATTTGAGGCTTCAGATTTAAGAACTCTTCTGACCAGATTATACCACCAATGTGGTAACTGAAACTATAGCTGGTACTGGCAGTGTGGCCACAGGGCACCTATGGTCTGACCCTCACCTTCCTGTTCCCATTGTACAGATGAAGAAACTGAGGCTTACGGAGGCAGGAAATGTGCTCCATGTCCCATGGCCCAGAGCTCCAGGCTCACTGCACCTTAAGGGTGGATGAGTGGTGCTGCCGGGCCCAAGAGAGGTCATCCCAGGGTGGAGGGCCCGGGAGGATGCCACATGAACCCTGCTCCCCACAGAGCCCGAGCTGTCTAAGGTACAAGTCTGACAGCATCAGTGCTGAGAAGGAACCAGGCTGGGAGGTGCCCAGAGGCATGGTCATTACCCCCAACCACAGAGAGATGCACCTGGCCGGCACGGTTCTCGCCTGGGTAGAGCCAGCTGGGGGACAGCAGCTCTGCAGTGAGGGGGCTCGGGTCATGCGGGGAGGACTTTCAGCAGAGGTAGAAAGGGTGCAGGAGCCCCGTTCCCAGCAGTGCCCGCAGCAGCCGCCCGTTCCCAAATTCCAGCGTTAAGTGGTGGACTAGAATTGTCACGTTCTGCCGTTCTGCCGGGAGTAATGAGCTCTAATGGGTTCCTGGAAGCCCTGTCGTCAAGACTGACAGCTGTCATTCCTCACAGGAGTGATGTCACAGTCAGGGGCTATGCTCTGACCCCGTTTACATCAGATAAGTAACAGATGTAGCCATTAGCACATACTCATGAATTCATTGAGCAAATGCTTGAGCACAACTTGAGGGTCAGTGACAGGTGACAGAGCCCCAGAAACCAGGCAGGGGGCTTTCCCTCAAGGCTGAGAGGGGGATGGGCTGGCCACCAGCAGATGGGATCCAGCAGGCCAGTGGCCTGGGATGGAGCTGGGGTTCAAGGGCAGGTGGGCAAGCCCACAATGGGGGCCAGGCAGAGAGGGACAGCACATGGTCAGGGTCTTAGCACAGGCATCTGGTTGGGGGCCAGGGCCTACCTCCCTGAGCCCTACTGGTTCACCTGATGTGACAGCCAGATGGATCTTGTGCCATGCCGTGCCCAGCCCTGCCCAGCCCAGCTTGGGAAGATAGGCCATGGAGTTTGGGAAGATGGGAGGGCCTCCTTCACACTTGGGAGGGTGCATGTGTGCAGGCCACCCGCCGTGCAGGGGGCTCGGCTGGCCGACCTTCTGCAGGGTGTATGACTGCAGTTCAGCTGTGTGCACAGCCAACGTGTCCTCCTGCTCAGCACATACCCCAGGCCCCTGACTTCAGATCCTGATGACCAGCCCCAAGTCCTGATGCACGGAGAGCCCTTCAGCCCAGTGTGAACCCCTAACCCTCGGCAGACTCTCTGGAACCTGGACATCTCTCTGAGCCTCGCCTTCCTGGCTGGGGAAACCCTGGGACTCAGTCCTGTGTCCCCTGAGGCAACTGTGCCCTCGGCTGCCCCTCCCCCTTGCTTAAAGGCTCACCCTGGCTGTGCAGTCTCATCAGAGCCCTGTTCCTTTGACACTGTGCCCCTGGTGTCACCGTCTCTGCAGTGTGTGCCCCTGCACCTCAAGTGCTGCCAGGCGGGCTGCGCAGCATCCTGACACCTCCAATCACAAATCATTGAAAAATGAGCATGCTATTTTGGGCTGTAACTCTGGAAACGGGTGAGGCACACACAAGAGTGCGTACGGGAGGAGTGAGAGCCCACGGGCTCCAGGTCTCCCCCAGGCAGCAGCATGCAGCCGTCAGCTTCCCTTCTCCTCCCCCCTCGCCATTCCTGCTCACCTTCCACGGCCTCACTCAGGCTGCTTCTTCCTGGAAGTCCCCCTGACTTCTCCTCCTGCCCTGCACCTCTGCTCAACCTCCTGTGGCACACATCTGGCGGTGCCACCTGCACCAGGACACAGTGCCAGCCTCTCAGTGTGGCTTTTGGGGCCTCCCTTTGAACCTGCCACCCAGTACTCCTTTGACTCTGCCCACTTGGTGTCATGGGTCACCTGCTGCCGAGGGCTCTGAAGGAGACAGTCAGGCGTCATCCTCGTGCAGTCCCACTGGGCACCTTTGGCAAGAGAAGCCAGGAGCAGCGCTGGGGTCACTGTAGTGTGTCACCCCTCTCCCTGCCACCCCTTCCATCAGCCTGACACAAGCATCCTCTCCTCCGACCAGGAGTCAGAGGAGCTGCCTCTGCCACCCGGGGCCATGCTACAAAGGGGACCCACTTCACACACAGGGCGACAGGTGGAGGCCGGACGGCCAACTCCCCCTGCACCTTCCCTGCCAGCCAGAAGCCCTCCTGGCACTGACCCCTCCAGCTGCCAATGCAGCAGAGGCCATGGAGCTTCTAGGGGGAGGCACCTGCTGCAGTTGCCTGTGCCCCAGCCAGGGCTCTGATGCCCACCCAGCTCTCTCCAGGGAGGTGGCACCTCCTAGGAGTCTGGGGTTTGTCTGCATTCGTGTGTATAGATAACACGATTCCTATCAGGAGCCTGTGCAATGGTGGGACTCTGCTTGGCGGTAAGAAACCGGAGATTTGTAATGAAGCATGTTAGATACTAGCAGGCAGTTGGGCGGCCTGGCACAGTCCCCAGGGTGGTACAGAAGTCATTTCTTGGCCATCTGCAAAAAAGATAGCTTCCTCTTGGACAGCTCCAAATATATTCAACACCACTGAATAGATGTCCACCAGGGTGGCACGTGGATGTCACTGGCTTGGGCCACGGCTGTTCCTCAAAACCTGTCCCTAAGCTGGTCTGAGTTGAGCCTTCGCTCAGTGCCAAGGCCTTCACGCCACACATGGATGCCATGCACCTGTGGTGGCCCTGTCCAGACTGGCTGCTGGAACGACATTCTGGGGAGGACAGGGCCTCGGGTGAGCCGAGGCACAAAGGTCAGTGGGGGGCCTTGCCCCTCGCCCTCACTCTCCACGGAGGCTCTCCCACGGGCGCTTGCCGTGCGCCTTGGACACCTGCTCTCTCTGGGCTGCAGTTTCCTCCGCAGGGACTGGGGTGGCGTGGCTCTCGCTGTCGGGACTGCCACGAGGGCCAAGCTGGTGCAGATGTAAGAAGCTGGGCCTGCTGGGCCTTGTCTTGGTTACCACTGCCGTCCCAGTGAGCGCTCTCCCGTGCCACCCAGTCCCTCGCCTCGGCACTGGGGCATCTGTCATCACCTCTCGCCTCTCACGGGACGACATGCCTCCCACACCCCCAGCACAAAGCCACTGTGGGATATGGCCGCCCAGCGGCAGCGTGGCTCTGTGGCATGGAGGCAAGGGCTGGACCCTGCTGACTGCAGTTCAGCCAGCAGGGGCTGAGCTCCGAGGCCAGTGACACCTACGTGCTGGTCATGGGTCCCAGTCCACCTGGTCCCTCTGGGAGGCTCCTGACTGCTCACAGCCTGGAGAGCCGATGCCCACCTGGACCCTGTAACCCGCCATGTCACACTTTCTGGCTCCGAACCCTCTCCTGATTGCTGTATGGCCCGCAGGTTCTCCTCGCTGTTTGTGGGGCACAGGGTAGCCCCGAGTGCCAGCCTGAGTATCCGTTATCATCTCCCTGATTTCACAGGTCAGGCCTGAGCTGCATCACAGGAGAGCTGCCTTTGGTTTCCTGCCTCCTGGCTGGTTCCCAGAGGCCCAGTGTTGGACCTGACCCTGGGCACCTGAGTCCAATCCCTGTACTTGACAAACGAGCCTAGGTCCCCCAACTGGCAAATGGGTCAGCCCAAACATTCCTGTGTGGCCTTTCCAGCATACCCGCCCCCTACTGGTTTAAGAGCTCACTGGCCTGTCTGAAGGAGAGGGGCAGAGACCAGCACCTCCCTATCCTTCAGGGTCACACTGGTTTGGGGAAGCCATATGAAAATGCTGACTCATGCTAAGTGTGCCAGCCACTAAATCCTTGTCACATGGAGGCGGCCGGGGGGGCCTGTCCTGTACTGATGGGTAATTCTCACTCAGTGGAGAATATGCCAGGGAGGAGGTGGCGGCGTGTGTCATAGTGTGTGGCTGGGGAAGGCCCTGTACTGACCCATCCTGTCCACTCACTCCCTAGCAGGTCCCCACCCCACAGGACCCAGTACAGGTCCACTGCAGTCAGAACACAGGGCAAGGCCAATGGGCCCAACCAGGGGT